CAGTATGCTGAACAGAAATAAAGGAGTTCCTGAGAACTACAACTGCTTCTCGTGTCATTGCCATTTCGCGAAGGATGCAACAGTAGCCATCTTAAAACGTGATGCAAGGACAACTAAGATGGCAGCATGATGTTAAAGGAAAAGTCTTCTTCATGGTTCAATCCAATCTGGGAATAAACAACATGGCAACTGCTTTAGAAAGAAGGTTGCAGTTTATTGCAGAGGAGACCCAGACAGAAAGATGGCTCTGGAAGAAAGAGTGAGCACATGTAGAGAGTGGGTTTGTATATCCTCTGGAGTCTTTTGTTTGGAGTTGTTCCTGTGGCATGAACTTTGACCTGAGTCTGAGTGCGCCTTTCTGGTATTCTGATGGTGTGAGTTAATCCTATTATGTCCCCAAGGTCATATCCTGTTTCCTTGGGGCTGTGGCTGATGACTCTTAGATTTTTGGTGTAAGGGGTTGTTGATTCTAGGGATCTTTCTTCCTAATCCCAGTTTCCTGACTCCAGTCTAACAAGATTATCACATCTGCATTTTGCAGACTTGGTTTCTGTTTGGGACAGAGAAACTTGTATGTGGGGGGGGGGGTTCTGCCTTTAAATCCTTTAGGGAAATATATTCTGTCTTTTAAATATTTCCAAAAATATTTCTTTCTCTGGGGGGGGGCTGACTTCCCACAATGATTAAAGACCCATCCTGTTTTATCTGTGTCACCTATGATTGCACTATTGCAACCACCATCTTGGTTTGTTTTTGTTTGTTTTTTACCCTTCCCTACAGATGCCCCTGATGAGAAGGAATTTGGGCAATTTCTTGCAGGACAAAAAAGAAATGAAACGTAGGACCGTGTGGACCGGAAGTTAATTCTCTTAGCCAAAAAAGCCACATCCTCACTCTGTTTGTATCCTGAGAAGAATTTCCTCTCATTTTATTTTCTTCTCTTCCTGTGAGCCCTCTCTTCCTTTTTGTAGTTTCTTCTTTTTATTGTAAGATCAATACAAACCTCCATCATAAGACAAAATGTTCAGAGGTTTAGGGATACATTGGAGCTAATTAGTGAGAAACTTAAGCTGAAGCTACACAATAATTTTACATAATAATAAAAATGGTATGTCTTTGGGAGAAAGGGGTAGTGTTGAAAGAAAAGTCTTCATCCTGGTTCATCCAAGCCGGGGATAAATAAACAACATGGTGACTGCTTTAGAAAGAAGGTTGCAGTTTATTGAAGAGCCAGAAAGATGGTTCTTGCAGGAAAGACCAGAGAAAAGAAGGGCCTGAGCACATGGGTAATAGGTTTTTATGCCCTCTCTTTGTTTGGAATAGTTTCCTGTTCCTGTGGCATGAACTTTGAGGCTATGTCCTGTGTCACATATTCTGACCTGAGTTTAAGTGTGCCTCTCTGGTATTCTTGATGGTTGTGAGTTAATCCTATTATCATATCCTGCTTCCCTGGTGATGGGGCTAATGACTCCTAGAGTTTGGGTGGGGTATGCAGATTTTAGATGTCTTTGCCTTCTTGAGCTTCTGGCTCCAACTTTGCTGATGGTTTACATCTGCATTTGTATAGGGCTGGCTTCTGCTTGGGACAGAGAGACTTGGGGGCAGGGTTGGTTTCTGCTTTTTAAAATCATTTTGAGGAAATATATTTTTCTGCCCTTTTAATATTTCCTTCTCTGGGGAGCTGACTTCCCACAGTAGGAAAGGAGGATTAGATTTATGGAACATACTATTCCAATCCTTTGCCATCTACACTGGCTGTCAGTCTATTTCTCGACTGAGTTCAAAGTGCTGGTTTTGTTCATTTATTATTTATCCCACATGTGTTACTTTATGAGTAACTCAAGGAAGCAAACTATATGATTACTTCCTCCCCTATTTTCCCCACAACAACAACCCAGTGGAATAGGCTGAGAGGCAGTGATTGGCCCAAAGTTACCCAGCCAGCTTTAATGTCTAGGACAGGACTAGAACTTCCAGTCTCCTCATGATTGGCTGATAGCTAAGATGGGACTAGAACTCACCATTTCCTGTTTTCTAGACCAGCACCTTATTACACAAAACAGGCTGGAGAATTCTGGGAATTGAAGTCCACACATCTTAAAGTTGTCAAGTTCGAGAAACACTGTGCTAATGAGAAAACTATAACCAGACTCCTGGTTTTTGGCCACTATAGAACAACATAGCTCTCCTCCAAGGTTGCCTATCCCCGTGGTTTCCCCTAACTTCCCTTATTCGAGGTAAAAAGGGAAGAAGGAAACCAAATTAAGATGATTAAAGGCCTGGAGTCTAAAACATATGAAGAACGGTTGCAGGAATAGGGTATGTCTAGTCTAGTGAAAAGAAGGTCTAGGGGTGACATGATAGCACTCTTCCAAAATCTAAGCGGCTGCCACAAAGAAGAGAGGGTCAAGCTCTTCTCCAAAGCACCTGAGGGCAGGACAAGAAGGAATGGATGGGAACTAATCAAGGAGGGAAACAACCTAGAACTAAGGAGAAATTTGCTGACAGTGAGAACAATCAACCAGTGGAACATCTTTCCTTCAGGAGTTATGGGTGCTTCATCACCGGAGGCTTTAAGAAGAGACTGGATAGCCATTTGACTGAAATGGTGTGAGATTTCCTGCTTGAGACCTCCAAGATGCCTTCCAACTCTGACAATGACGACACTAATGATGATGACAACAATAAACAATTTCATCTTGCTAACATATGAGCCGAGGTGGCGCAGCAGTTAGAGTGCAGTACTGCAGGCCACTTTAGCTGACTGTTGAGCAGGTCAGCGGTTCAAATCTCACCGGCTCAAGGTTGACTCAGCCTTCCATCCTTCTGAGGTAGGTAAAATGAGGACCCAGATTGTTGGGGGCAATGTAAATATATATATACATTGCTTACTGGTGTACACCGCTTAGAGAGTGCTTGCACTTAAAGCGGTATATAAGTCTCATAAAAATAAAATAAAATTTAAAACAGGGCAGCCACAGCTGTGGAGACCAATGGAATGGCTCATAGCCGCTCTAACTATGGCAAGTGTTTAGCTTGTACTCTAATCTGATTAAACAGCAAAGAATCCATATAGGAGAGAAATCTTATGGTCATGTCCAGTATGGGATCCATTTCGGTGAAGCTTCCACTTGATCCAACACCAGAGATATCATGCCTGAGAAAAATCTTATCAATCCACTTTGTGTCAGAAAAGTTTTGGCCATCTGCTTCAACACAGAAAATGGAGAACTCCCTCACAGATGACCGGATTGTGGGAAGAACTTCATCGAGAACTCAACTCTGAAAAAGCACCAGCAAGTCCACACTTGAGAAGAAACTTACCAGTGCCTGGGATGAGGGAAAATTTTTAGTCTCAGCTCCCACCTGGTGACACACCAGGGAAGTCACACAGGAGACAGACTATATAGACTACAGATTGTGGCAAAAGATTCAGAGGTACATCATCCATTATCCACCAGCAAAGCCACATGGAGAGAAACCTACATGTGTGAAATGCATGGAAAGGGGTTTGTTCTAAGCTCTGTTTATTTGAACCCTCACCTGACTCACACTTTGGGTGTTCCCAGTTGTAGCTGGTCTTTCCACCAGTGGTCAAGAGACTCCATACAGGAGAGCAATCTTACAAATGTTCTTATTGTGACCAAGGGTTTCGCGATAGCTCTACCCTGGCCAAACACAAGAGATGCCTCACTGGAAAGAAAGTGAATATGTGCAAGGATTGTGGGTTGAGCCTTGGATCTAGCTTCGGGAACATTAGGCATTCCATGGAGAAAAGATGTCAACAAGGGCTATCATGTAGGCCAGTGTTTTGATAACCCTGATAAACTTAAGATGGACTTCAACTTCCAGAATTCCCTAGCCAGCACACTCTTCTTATGAGGGAATTCTGGGAGTTGAAATCTACCCACCTTAAAGTTATCAAGGTTAACAACTGGTCAAGGCCTAGCCTAGAACCTTACATAGAGTACTAATTGCCCATGAAAAATTGGACATCCATTGACCACCTCTGTAGAGTTACCTTCTTTCTTGATTATGTACTTCCAATGTTGGTTAGCATTATGGCCTTCCTCCATGACCTTCCCATGAGGGGAAGCAGATGGGCCTGGGATGAACATGGCTGCTGGAATGATAGCTAATGCAGATACATCTTTTTGAAGCTGGGAATTCAGAATGATTCCCACATTTGGCATTTCCATGAGGAAGGCGGTTTCCCCTTCATTCTTAAGTAGCAGGGATGTTTGAGGCTAATGAAACAATTCAGGTGGGAAGGCAGACAAGGTTGCAAAGCACGGGACATAAATGCAATGAAATTTCTGCAGAAATAGATTCTCTTCTTTAGTCTTTCTCTTAAAATTAGAGGAATATACAATTTGTCCATCCTTTGATTCTACCCACCCTTTGTTATAATCACATGCTCTGCACTTCCTCCAGATAATGCCTGACAATGTTTCTCAGTCTTGACTTTAAGCTGTTTGAACGTCAATTCCCAGAAATTCCCAGTGAGCATTGAGGAATTCTGGGAGTTGAAGTCCATATGGCTTAAAATTGCCATGGTTGATAAACGGTGGTCCCTGATGAACAAAGTATTGTCCACACCACAAGCTAATATTATTCTTTCAGGTGCAGTACTAGTCAACTGCAAAAATAAATGACTAATATTTTTTCTGTGTAATATTTGAAATATATATGATTTGCCCATCTCTTTGACTCTATCCCACACACTTTTGTCATAAATATGCACCCTGCACTTCCCCAAAGAGTCCCCGATGATCAAAAAGTTGCCCACACAACAGCCTAATAATTATTCTTTTGGGTGCAGTGTCAGTCAAATCACTGCACATTAAATAAGGGACTAAAGTGAAAATAAGGCCCTTCAGCTTTCCAAAGCTTAAAAAAAGATTGTCAGCTTAAAACACAGTAAACTTTACCTCAGCTTGCTGAGATACTTGGGGGGGGGGGGAATCCAAATGTTAGTCTCTCCACAAAAGCAAGTGACCTAATGTCTTTTTTTTTTAATTGTGAATTTTATTATATAATACAGCAGTGAGCAGGTAAAAAGTTGGCATAAAAAAACTGAGTGGCAGAAGGAAGAGCCCGTGCCCCTTCATCCCGGCCAAGTCGCATTATCATAAAAGCTGCCATGGAGGTTTACACAGATAAAAAAATGGCCTTGATGCGGCCTAATGACGAGCTTTGACATATTCTCCTTCCCTGCTTTCTCCATGGTAATTTATTTTAAATAAAAGATTGTCATTTGTGGCATTTTTTTCAAGAAAAAAACCTGAAGACACAAGGGATGTGTGTGTACAAGATGTTTCATCCTGTTTTTCCATATTAGCTGGTCCCTTATCAAAAGCTCCTTCAAGAACTCCAGCAGGCCATAAACCACAGACCGCCACAGCAGGCCCGAGGGAGACAAAAATAACATGCCCAGGGTCAATGCAAAACTTGCATCCTGGTATCTGATGCAAATCCATAAACTGCAGCACCCCACAACCATGTGCGTTTTGTCGTTCTCCCTTGTGCCATCAACTTCCTTAGAAATATTGGCATCCCTGTCCTTCCTATCCAGACTCACAAAGGACCCACTCAACACATCAAAGATCAACCCTAAACTAAGTTGGAAAGGCCCAGGTGTTCCTAAGTGTCTCTTTCCACTGGCAGGCGCTTCTGGGAATTGTAGTTTTTAGCAAAGTTTGGATGGTTGCAGTTCTGTATTCGTACACAATCAAAATAGAGGTCGGCTAAAAAGTTACCGTTGATCTTTGGTTACAACAGAATGAATTTGGAGGTGGAGATCAGGAGGACTTTCAGGTAGATCTGGATGGAGCCATTGCTCTCCACAAATTAAATATCAGGACAGGAATATTCAGATGTTCCAAAGAACATTGGACTTGATTTGTAAGGTAAGGCCGCTAACCTGTGTCTACAGGTAAAGACACCAGAGATGTGGTTGTCCCAAAGGTGCTTTTTCATCACCTGGATGACTGAGAATCTCCATAGACAAAGGTGTGGTTGCATCACATCCTGGTCTCCTGAGGGCCTCACCAGTTGATCTTGGGGATGTGGCTTAAGGCAATGCCTCCTGTCAGAGGTGCTGGTGCTGGGGGGGGGGAGAGGGGGAAGGTGACTTAAAAGTGGCCTGGGATGGGGTGGGAGATAACTCTTGGCTGCTTGTGAGGGAACAGAGGCCTGGCTCCTGAAAAGAGTGGGAGGAGCAGATCCGACTTGCTTCCTTCATTGCTTGCTTGCGAGTAGCTCTGATCTATAGGCGTGGTTTTTGGCAATGGTGGATGGGCTCTCAGGATGAAGGGGTGGAGCCCCTTAAGGCACAGGTGTTTTTCCCATATGTGGCAGTGGGCGTGGCTTGTTCAAAAGCCGACGGTGGGCCCTCCCCCTTTCCCACGCCCGCAGGAGGCATGGCCTGACCACAACAAGGCCAGGGCCCCTCCCAGTCACCCAAAGAGCTTGATAAAGCAGGGGTGGCAATAGGGCTTCTCGTTCTGCTCCTTGAAGGTGCCTTTGTTCAGCTGCTTGAGACAGAAGGCGCAGACAAAATGCTCCGGGTGGAACTTCCGGCCCATGGCGGTAATGCAACGGCCGGTGATGGGTTTCTCGCAGCCGGAACAGAGCGAGCCACGTTGCTTGTGGTAATGGATTTCGCAGAACGGGCGCCCGCTGTGCTCGAAGAAGCTGCCATTCATGAACGGGGTGTAGCATTCCTAGAACAGAGGAACAAACCAGGAGAGATTAAAGAAGGCCACCTAGACAGGTAGTCCTCCTCAACTTACAACCATTCATTTAGTGACTGGAGTTAAAAGCCACGCTGAAAAAAAGGGACTTACAATCAGGACCGTCACAGCATCCCCATGGTCACGTGATCAAAATTTGTGCGCTTGTATTGAGGATGGTTGCAGCATCCCGGGATCACTATTCCAGCTGACTTCCAACATACAGAGACAGTGGGGGAAGCTAACCCACTTAACAGCCGTGCAGTTCACTTAAAAGCTTGTTTAGCAGTGGAAATTCTAAATTTCTGATCCTAACTGTGGACAAAAGTCAAAGGCAAACTGTAACTCCATGGGGGGTCTACAAAATTACATTTCCTTCCAATAGTACTCCTGCACTCTGGGCAAAATCGCACATAATCCTGACTCAGTGCACAGGTTTTTCCTGCACATACCTCTCCCCATCTGGGTCTCATTGGCATACAATTCATTTCCCCAGCCAGGGGAGGCTTGAAGTCTGGCCTCTCTGGCAGGTAGCAGATGGGAAAGCCATGCAATCAAGCTGGGCTGGTTCACAATCCATGGGATTCAATTGTCTCCGAGCAAGGTTTGATCAGAAGTTGCTTTTAGCCTGAATTTTTTTTAGAAGATGAGAAATGCTGGAATTTGTCAAGAATCCCTGGATCCTGCCACGTAGACCCATATGAAACTCCTTATTTGTTTTTAACTTAATTTTTGTTTAGTAAACATCTTAACTGGTTTTCGTAATTTGGGTAGATCTTCTGTTTATTACAAGAAAATTTTCTTGTCTTTTAGCCTTCCTCAATTCAGCCTAGGAACCTCTTACTAAGAGTTCACTTCTGCCCAATGGCATTTTTTTTTTTAAATTTGTGCCGTACGTTCTGGTTTAGATGGCATTATGTATCAAGATTTAGGCTCACAGCTGTCTCAAAGCTCTGTCATTGAGCAGATCCAGATGTGCTAGGTCTCTGTCCTGTCTTTAACAGGCATATGAGTCCTAAAGTGAAGATTCTTGAAGGTACCACATTCCCCCAATGTCAAAAAGTTGGCACAAAAGAGTTGAGCTATTTTGCTAAGTTAAAAGAAATGTAATAAATAAAATCCTAGGTTGCCTCCAGAAATTGTGGAAGCTTCAACACTAGAGATTATTTTTTTTAACAAATGTTATTGATTTTTCAAATTTTAACAACCGGGTAATTAGGAAGCAGCGTGGTGATAGGGTAATCAATAATCCAATAACAGAGTGATACATAGATATCTCAGTTTACATCAATAAAGGTTCCCTTTCTATTTCCCTTAGGTATTATATCACATTCATATTAGTACATTTCTAGCTAAAGTTTAATCAATCTATATATTTATCAATAACATTTTAGTTATACATATCCAAGTCCTGTTTTTAGGTTTTATTTAATTCCAGTTATCATATTCCAATTTATCCTTTTATAACCACTATTTATAATTCGGATAGGTTTAGTTTCCCTCATTTCATTATAAACTAATTCTCGTGATTAAAATACAAATATTATTCCAAAATTTAAATTCTTTCTTTATTCACCAATAGATTCTATTTCTTATCCTAATAACTCCTCATATACCAATAACATATCTTTCATTGTTACAAATCCATTTCCCTATAACCATTAAGGCTATAATCTAACAAATTATTTTAATTTCCATTATAAATCTGAATCCTAAGTACTAAACCAGTCAATATCTCTAAAATCAGTCAAAATCTCTAAAAGAAAAGTTGCTTAACCCTCAAATGAATTTTTAAATCCCATTTTTAAATCTAATTCTGGCTTTCTTTTTTATGCCAAGCAGGCTTCCATACCAATGCCCTTAAATCCTAACACTGGAGATTTTTAAAGAGACTGGATAACCATTTGTCTGAAATGATATAGGGTTTCCTGCTTCAGCAAGAGGGTGGACTAAAAGACCTCCAAGGTCTCTTTCAACTCTTTGTTCTGTTAAGTTGCATTCAGGAGCTCACAGTGATCTGTTGTTTTCTTTATCTTGCAAATGCAAGTAGGGTCAACAATGCAATACTGTTCTTCTCCTCAGCCACATCCATCACCTTTGCTACGGAAAGCCACAGGTAGAGATACCAACCAATTCTCCCCCCATGGAGAATTTCCCTCTTGGTCATAACCAAGGCAAAATTAAAACTAAGGCAATAAGACTTAAGAAGAGAACGGCAGCCTAGTAGTTTCATTTTCAGCAAAAGAACTGTATTTTCTCCTTTGGAAAAGCCATTTCTCTTCATTGGCTTTCCGGACCTCCGGACAAGACCACACACAATACAACCCCGGCCTAGAGCTGGTGCTTACCCTGCAAACAAAACATTCTGGGTGCCACAAGGCATTGAGAGCCGAGATGTAATTCTCCAAGATGGCCTGGCTGCACCCTTGACAGCGAGTGGAGAAGAGCTCATAAAAGTCCTGGCGACAATACTGCTTCCCGTCTTTCTCATGAAAGCCTGCAGGGGGAGAGAGAGAGTCAATATGGAAGGGATCAAAAATGGAGCAGCTCCGCAGCCACCTAAGGTGAATCAGTAGTACTGCACGAGGCCCGATTCAGAATTCCTTTGCATTGTGGAAGCTGTGAAAATTTAGTTAAGGACACCACAACTTTTTCCAACCTGGAGCCCTCCAACTGAGCTGGAACTCAAGCCATAGAATGGGCAGCAGCCTGTTGGGTGGGGACCACAGGAAGTGAAATTCAAAAAAATTGAGAAGACCCTGATTGGGAAGACTGGTTTTGTGGGCAACCAGCAGTCCATGAAGGCCAATAAGCACTACGATGCTCAATTGCACATTTGTGTTGCATGTGAAAAAGATGATTACCCGGTCGTTTGTACATTGATTCAATGTTTAAGACTTAGACCTACAACTGAGACGAAAATTATTGGTCAGATTATAGTTTGGAATTATAATATGAAAAAGGTTTTAAATGAGGAGTTATCAGAATAAGAAATAGAATCTATATGTGAAATAGAATAAGAATGTATCTTTTGGAATAACATGTTTATTTTAGGTATGATAATCACTTTCTAATGGAATGAGAACAAGGAAATGGATCGTGACAATAGAAGACATCATATTAGTAAATGAGGAATTATTAGAATAAGAAAAGAGACTATATTAGAGAAATGTAAGAATGTAACTATTGGAATAATAAGCTTATTTTAGACATTATAATTATTATGTTATTAAACGAGGGAAATTAGGGATACCCAAAGTGTTAACAATATGTTTATTCAAGGCTAAATTGGAATATGGTAATTGAAACTTAGCAAAGCTTAAAACAGGATTTGGACTTCTGTAGGTAAAATGTTATTGATAATTGTATTGATTGATTGAATTTTATTTAGAAGTGTATTCATTTGAATATGTTATATCAATTGAGGGAAATAGAGAGGGAACCTTTAAGGAGTTATTCTGAGCTATACATTATGATTTTGTTTTTGGATAATTGATTACCCCATCCCCACGTTGTTTCCTAAGCACTTTGATGTAAAAATTGAAAAATTAATAAAACTTGTTACAAAAAAAATTTTTTTTTTGAGGAGACCCTGGTTGGGAAGACTGGTTTTGTGGGCAACCAGCAGTCCATGAAGGCCAACAAGCACCACGGTGCTCAATTGCACATTTGTGTTGCATGTCAAAAAGATGGTTACCCAGTCGTGCATTGTACCAGACCTTCTCCATGACACCATCCCATCTCTACCATTCTCTCTATGATTTTTGTAGCATAAAAACAATAAACTTTATCCTCTGGCAATGAAAAAAAAAAAAGACTTGGCCATGATTTAGTGGACACATCCACCTTATGTCAGCCTTCTCAGGTGAGATCAAGACAGAAAACACAACCAAGCAAGCTGATTCTACATCATCACAAGACCACATTAATAGAATCTTGCAAGTGTGAAGACTACAGACCACCCATTGTCTCTTTTTACAGGATGGTGAGGATTTTCTTTCTCTGCCTATTACGCAGCTCCACCTTTCTTATCTGATCATTTCCTAGGCCAGGGGTAGGCAACCTTGGCTCTTTTATGACTTGTGAACTTCAACTCCCTGAATTCCTGAGCTAGCCACGCTGAGGGGAAAGGGAGAGTTTCCAAGCTGAGCCGGGCTGGCTCAGGAATTCTGGGAGTTGAAGTCCACGAGTCATAAAAGAGCCAAGGTTGCCTACCCTAGCCCTAGGCAGCCTCTGTGTCCCAAGGTCATTCCCACATGCCATTCCAGGTACTTCTCGACTTACAACCATTCATTTAATGACTGTTCAAAGTTACAACGGCTCTGAAAAAAGTGACTTAGGACCGGTTTTCACACTTACGACCATTGAGGCATCCCCATGGTCACCTGATCGAGGAAAAAGTTATTAGAAGAAGGTATAGCACTTGAATGGTAGGCGTACCTTCAATTTCAATCGCGATGTATGAAGGATAAAAAAGAATGGGGAATAAAACTAGATCATACAGAATTAGATAAAATTTTATTAGGAAGGGAGGAAAAAGAGATAAAAAGGGTATATCAATATTTATTGGAACGGGATATGTTGGAAGAGCAACTAAAAGACACAATGTTAATTTGGAGTAAAAATTTTGCTTATGGTATTGATTTAGATAACTGGCAAGAACTATGAGAAAGGAATAGGAAGCTCACATTAGCTACTGCGTACAAAGAAAACTTATATAAGATGTTCTATAGATGGCACCTTCCCCCTGTGAGATTAGCTAAAATGGACAGAAAGACCTCACCAAAATGTTGGAAATGCAAAAAAATCGCTAGGGACCTACTACCATATGTGGTGGGAATGCTCAAAAGTACAAAAATTTTGGTATTTGATAAAACAGTGGTTAGAAGAGATACTGATGCAGAACATCAAGTTAAAGCCAGAACTCTTTCTGCTGGTTATTACTAAGGACAAATACAATAAAGCAGTGTTTCTCAACCTTGACCATTTTAAGGCATGTGGACTTCAACTCCCAGAATTCCACAGCCAGCAATGCTGGCTGTGGAATTCTGGGAGTTGAAGTCCACATGCCTTAAAATGGTCAAGGTTGAGAAACACTGCAATAAAGGATCCCTATACCTATTACTACATATGCTAACAGCAGTAAGATTAGTTTTTGCATAGAGATGGAAAGATAATGAGACACCCTCAGAAGAAGAGGCAATAAATAAGTTTTTATCCTGTGCTGAAATGGATAGGTTGACGTTAGAAAAGTGAAACAGATTATTATGAAATCTGGAACAAATTGTATAATTGGTTGGGGAAAAATAGATGGAAAAACTCTCTCATTCAGCAAAACACATTGATCAAGAAAGATACTGATCAAAGGAAAAATATTAAAACTTTAAAGTGAAAATTAAGAATATAAATGATGGGATCTAACAGAGAGAAATTTTTTTAAAAAAAATAAACATTTGTTTGAATATGTGGATTATGAATTATAGAAATCAATTGTTAACGATTTTTCTTTACAAATGTAAACCTAGCAAACACACTGTTAACCAACCATTATGTGATTTATGTTTTAAAAACCAATAAAACTTATAATAATAATAATAATAAAAAATTCGGATGCTTGGCAACTGGTTCATATTTAGGACGGTCGCAGTGTCCAGGGCTCATGTGGATCAGCTTTTGCGACCTGGGGGAAGCCAGATTCACTTTACCATTGTGTTTACTAACTTAACAACTGCAGTGATTCACTTAACAATTGTGCCAAGAAAGATCGTAAAATGGGGCCAAACTCACTGAACAACTGTCTTGGTTAGCAATATACATTTTTGGTTCGATTCTGGTCATAAGTCGAGAACTACCTCAGGCAGTCCTCCACACAGGACCATTATGCAAACTGAACCGAATGCGCAGTCACTAAGCAAGCCAAGGGTTCATTATGGCGCAACGTTTTGCCGGAAACCAGAATTAAGTACCAGTTTTCACCAAAACCATTGTAAAACACGATCATGTGACCGTGGGATGCTGCAAACAATTGTCAAAGCCGCACAAATGAGCTCCCGAAGCTTGGTCATGTGACCACAGAAGGGACTCTTTCTTAGGTTGGATGTAACTTCGAACAGTCTCTAAGCAACAAGTTTTAAGTCAAAGACTATCTGTAACTCATGTGAGGTCAATTCCTGGCAAAAAAGTTTGAACCCCATTGAAAGGTACATCCGATGAGTCCCAAACAGGATGGAACTGGTAAAAATCAAATTCTCTCCCTGCCAGCTACTATACTGACCTTCCTCCCCGAAGGGCCGCCCACACTGGACGCAGCAAAAGTGTTCCGGGTGCCAATTCTTATCCAGCGCTGTTACCATTTTCTGAATGGACCACAGGAAGGCCGAAGAAGGAAGGGGGAAAAAAACCACTTTGTCAAAAATGCGCTAAACATGATTATCGCTACTCTGCATTTCCCAGGGTTTCTTAAGTTGCTCAATCCTCTTTTTTGGCCTCCTATGTTTCAACCAATTCCTGTTGTATCATAGCTCCCTGTGAATCATTCCAGCAAAGTTTTTTAATTGCAATCCTACTGGTTGCTGGCGTTTTTACTTCCAGTTTCTGGCAAAAATGCCCATGGAAGAAAATGAGTTTGCTTAAAAACCTGTGGTGCTTGCTTGATGCCACAGAGCCGACTTAATGGCCGTCGCAAAAAAGGTGGAAAAATCTGGCAAAGTCAGGTGGGTGGAGGACAAATCATGGCAGCCAACTGGACGCAGGACAACTCGCCATGGGACAAGAGTTACACTAATATCCAAAAATGGTGGAATAGAATCATTAAAGAACGGATGCCAAAGGACGGACAAAATACAATGTGAATGACAACAAATTAAAATAATTTTTAATTATTTTAAATAATTAAATTGAGTTGTTGAATTGCCCCGTGGTGAGATGTCTCGTAGTAAGTTGGCTGTGGCGAATTGTCCCATTCCACAATCAGGTGGTGACCCACTTAACAATCACAACAATTTATAACTCATTCTGGGCTCAATTATGGTCATAAGCCAAGGACCACTGTACCACTCGCTTCATGCTACGATTCAGGCACTGAAAGTTGCAGGAGTTTATCCTGCAAATAACACAACGCACAACGCTCCTAATTTGATTTCTAACCCTATCGGAACATGAAAGACAGGAAAGACCCTCATAATAGCTTTGTGATCTGAAATAAAAACGGAAAGTGCACTGAGGCGCCTCTACCGCCATCCAGCACTCAGGCTGCTGAGGAGAAAAATAGTGAAATGAATGAACAGATCCCCAAAATTCGCATTCAGGATTGGACCCTCAGAAAAACCACACAGATCACACAGCAGTGGCTCAAAAGTGCATCAAACGTTTTCATGCAGAAGGAAGGAAAAAAAACCCTCACATCCAGGATGGGTTCGTTGCAGAATCCGCAGCGGGGAGAGAAGAGCTGGAAGTAATCTCTCTCGCAGTAGGGGGCGCCGTCCTTCTCGAAAAAGTTGCTGCCCCCCATCTCCTTCTGGCAGTAGGTGCAGACAAAGTGCTCCGGGTGCCAGGTGCTCCCCAGGGCGGTCACCACCTGGACGAGGAAAAAATGAAAGAAAGAAGGCCACGTCAACAACCGGCACGTTCTCCATCCGACGGCGACGTTACAGGCCGTCCTCGACTCACAACAGTTCATTTGGTGGCTATCCGAAGTTACAACAGCATTGAAAAGCGTAACTGATGACCGTTGTTTCACACTTACGACCATTGCCTTCCTCCCCATTTTTGACACGATCAAAATTCGGACGTTTGGCTACTCACTCATATTTATGACGGTTGCAGTCTCCCAAGATCGTGTGTTCCCCTTTTTGCGACCTTCTGACAAGCAAAGTCAGGGAAGAAGCCAGATCCACATAACAGCCGTGTTACTAATTTAACAACGATGGTGAGTCACTTAACAACTCTGGCAAGAAGGGTCGTAAAATGGGGCAAAACTCACTGAACAAATATCTCACTTAGCGATGGAAATTTTGGGCTCAGTTGTGGTCATATGTTGAGGACTACCTGTATTTATTTATTTATTTATTTATTTATTTATTTATTTAATATCCCACTTTCATTATTTTTACAAATCGTTCAAGGCAGTGAACATATCCAACATACCTTCCTCCCTACTATTTTCCCTACAACAACCCTGCGAGGTGGGCTGGGCTGAGGGAGACTGACAGGCCCAAAGACACCCAGCTCTCTTTCAAGCCCAAGGTGGACTAGAACTCACTGTCTCCTTGGGATTGGTCCAAAGTCACCCAGCTGGCTTTCACGGCTAAGGCGGGACTAGAATTCACCATCTCCTGGTTTCTAGACCAGCACCCTAACCACTAGATCAAACTGTCTCTATATGAAAGACCTCTGCTCCCCAAAGTCTCTTGCTCCTCTATTCTTCCACAGACGGCAGTTTATTTGTTTTTTATTTTATTTATTAAATTTATATGGCACCTGCCCCATTGTCAAGCAACTCTGGGCGGCTTACATCATAAAAACAAAAGTACAAAATATTCAATATTAAAATGAACAAAGATTAAATGGGTTAAAACTCAGAATATTTTCTTTTTAACATTTTTTTTCCTTTTTTTTAAGATATGAGAAATGTAAAAGTGTTGGGATGGCCTGTACGAGGAAAAAGATTTAAATGCTTAAGTGTAATGAAAATCTTAACCAGTAAGAATGTTTTGAATATTGTGGGGGAAACAAATTTAAATAAGAATTTTAAACAGGATAAGGCAATCAAGATGATTGCCTTGATAAGGCAATCAAGATGATCAGTTAGAAAAGAAGTTTTCCATCAGAGTGGTTATTATTTGCAGAAATATTAGAAAAAAATGTCTATATTTAACTGTTGTTTATCCAAATAATAAGAATTGTATTAATTCAAGTATGGCAAAAGAGAACATTTTTGGAAGAAGAGAACATCAAGCAAAGCTACTATGTGGACTATAGAATTATAGAAACTAATTGTTATTGTTTTTTAAATATAAACCCAGACAACATGTTTACCAAATATTAAGGTGATTATGTAAAAAAAAACATTTTTTTAAAAAACTCAAGAATATTACAGGGTGGAGAAGAGATCTTCCTAGTCCAGTGGGGAACACCCGCTTTGGGGCCCGGTTCCGAGACTCTTTCAGGGGGCAAAGATGGCGGGAACATCTCATCCTGAGGGGCAGAATGTCCCAGAGACTCTTCTGCATACTGTGGAATTCAATTACCAATGTGGTCAGTTCCTGGATCAACCCATTTCCTGGATTCACATAAGGAACTGAACCATAAAGTAGCCAAACAGGCTGTTTTGCAAAAGACCAAGAGGAAATGGGGGGGGGGGAGGAGACTAAACTGATCCTTTAAACCAGGGCTTTTCAACCAGTGATACGGGTACCACCTGTGGTACATGGGCACCTGGCAGGTGGTACGCGACCATCCTAGAAAACTGGCAGCGGGAGAGAAGAATGAGCTGAACCGGTGGCAGCACCACACAAGCCTAAGCAAGAGATGGCCGGAGCTGAAGGGCTGTCAGGGCTCAGTGGAAGCGCCAGGATCAGCGCTTCTTCCGGGCTGTTAGGGTTCAGTGGAAGCGCCAGGATCAGTGCCAGGCTCCAGCTGGAGCTCAGCGCTGATCCTGGGGCTTCTGCTGAGCCCAGAAGAAGTGCCGATCAGCTGGAATGTTGCAGCATCTCCAGGGTCTTGTAATTTACATTCAGATGCTTGGCAACTGATTCATATTTATGACGGTCACAGTGTCCCAGGGTCATGTGAAGTGACCAAAACCTGCTGCAACCACCCAGCAGACAGAAGGGGGGGAATAAAAACCAAACCCCCCCCACCCCACCCGCACTCCAATCCTCAACAGAAATGCTCACAACAATGAAAACCTCGGACAGGAGGAAGAGCGCCACCAGGTGAGCAGGCAGGTGTCTTGCTTGGCTTTGGCTTGGGGGGCACTTTTTTCAGTGCCATTGTAACTTCGAACAGTCACTAAGTGAACTGTTGTAAGTTGAGGACTACCTGTACTTTATCACTTTTTTCCTTTTTTTTTTTTGGTTATCAGGTTTTTGACACCTTGCTAAGCGACTGGTGGTACTCGGATATTGCCATATCCTAAAAGTGGTACAATGGGTGAAAAGGTTGAAAAGCCATGCTTTAAACTAAACTAATTTGGCCTTTTCTGCAGGTCCAGCTGTTAATGGGTTCAAGACTGGGTTGGCCGAGCCCCTGCTAAAGTGCGCTCATCTCCTCGGCCTTTTCAGTTCTGAAATGTCTTTAAAGGTTCAAATCAGAGCACGTAGCAACTATAAATGTAAGCCTAGGCTTAAACCTAAAGCTAAAGTTAAACCTAAATCAGAATTACAGAAATAGGAAGAGTCAGCAATTACTTCTTCAGCCTTCCATGATAATTCAGAAGGACAGGAAAGGTGGAGAAGGATTCCATAGCAGTTAAAAACTCACAAGAAGGGGAAAGGTCTGGCTACCAAAGCTGATGGAGTTGGCAGAGATAGCTAAACTGACCGTTTTGATGAAAGAAAATAATATAAGTACTTTTGTTTCTACTTGGAGACTGCTTCTGGATTTTGTGCTGGAGGTGGAAAAAAAATGAAATTTTGCTTTGGGGTTTTACTGATTCGATTGATTTTTCATGATAGAAATAGTTTATACTATTATGGAAACGTAAAAAGTCGAGGTTCGGTGTTAATGCTTTATTCTACTGCCCCAGAGGAAGTTAGTGCCTTTTTTTTTCCCCTTCTCCCCCTGACTTTTCTTTCCCTTCTTCCTCCCCCCTGGGTCCTACTATTTGCTTTTGTGTTTTTGTATTTTATTCTATAATCTAATACGATGTCACAAATTGGAAAAAAGGAAAAAAAAGAAAGGAAAAAGTTTGGCAGACAAATGTCTACTTAATTCCAGATGTGATGTTGATTCATCCTGATTTCCCACCAGATCTACCCAGATGTGTCTGACCAACATAGAAGACGACGCTGACCTGCCCAGCGATGGGTTTTTGACAGGATGCACACAGGCCCTTGGCTGTGGTGGAAATGCCTTGGCGGCTGAGATCCGACTCCAGCATCACCAGCATGCTATCCAGGTTCCCACTGGGCTGGCCTGGGGACATCTGGGGAGACACCGCAGTAGGGCCTGGGCAGACAGATGACACCACCGGCTGCTGAGCTGAGGGCACTTGGGTGGGAGCAGGTGCTGGTGGAACCGTGGTGGCGGTCGTGGTAGTCGTGGTGGGGACAGAGACTCCCGGAAGCTAGAGATTTAGGAAATATAAGACAGTTATGAATCACCTATGACAAGGTAGGCAGCCTTGGCTCTTTTATGACTTGTGGACTTCACCTCCCATAGCTGGCTCAGGAATTCTGGGAGTTGAAGAGTCATAAAAGAGCCAAGGTTGCCTACCCAGACCTATGACGAGTGTCATCCATTGTTATTTCTTTTATTTGGAGCAAGGCCCCAGAGCCGATCTCCAGAAACATTAAGAGAATTGCTTTCTTCTGGGTTATGTGAAAAGGATGTGCTATGAATTTACAATACAGGTAGTCCTCGACTTAAAACAGTTTGTTTAGTCACCGAAGTTACAACGGCACTGAAAAAAGTGACTTATGACCGTTTTTCACACTTACGGTCGTTGCAGCAACCCCACGGTCACATGATCAAAATTCAGAGGCTTGACAGCTGGTTCATATTTATGACGGTTGCAGCATCCCGGGCTCATGTGACTCCCTTTTGTGACCTTCAGACCACCAAAGTCAATGGGAAAGCCAGATTCACTTAACAACCATGTTACTAACTTAACAGCTGCAGTGATTCACTTCACAAATGTGGCAAGGAAGGTAGTAAAATGCGGCAAAACTCACTTAACAAATTTCTCACTTAATGACAGAAACTGGGGGCTCCATTGTAGTCGCAAGTCAAGAACTACCTGTATGGTCTGATCAAATAAAGTTAGGATGGTGCCTGGCATGCTGAAAAATAAAAAAAAAAGGATACGAACATCTAAGTTCTCCGAGTAAACTCGCGGCTCAAAAATTGGCCAGAGAAAAAAGAACTTTCAAGTAGTTATACTTCAGGAAAAAAGATTCTGAGGGCATCAAGAACCATTACATTCTGAGGAAGCAGCTGGAAGTAGACCTGGTGTGTGTTCATTTGTGTGTGCGCATGTGTCTCTGTGCGTGCATATGCATGTAGAGAGAGACTGACTTTTGTTCTAAATCCAACTACTCAAACCATTTAGTTTAATTTAGGCAAACCTAATCTTTCTGCCTCATCTGTAGAAATTATGTGTATGTGGAGGAAACGGTGCAGGATATTAAACCTTTCCCAAAATTTCTATCTGTAGGGAAATACACAGGCATGCACACACACACACATGCAATCGTGCACATAAAGCTCCTATAGTTTATCACACTCTCTTCTGCCTTTCCTTGCAACTAAGACTGACCTACTTTTTAAAAAGCAAATCCGTGGTTTGCAGAATATACTCAAATAAATAATAATAATAATAACAACAACAATTGTCAATAAGAAAGACAAAAAAGTCTGGATAGTGGACGTGGCAGTGCCTGGAGATAGCAGAATAGAAGAGAAAGAACTGGAGAAAATAACAAAATACAAAGACCTACAAATAGAAATAGAAAGACTGTGGCAAAAGCAAGCAAGGGTAGTACCAATAGTCATAGGCTCCTTGGGTGCAATCCCAAAACAACTGGAGCACCACTTGAACACCATTGGCATTGACAAATTCGCTATTAGTCAATTGCAAAAGGCGGCCTTATTAGGAACTGCTTCCATCCTGCGACGATACCTGTAATACCATCAAACATCCACATCTGCCTATCCCAGGTCCTGGGTAAGGACTCGATAGGTAGACAAAATGCCAAATCCAGTCTGAACATCTGGCTGACTGTGCGATGATCCATAATAATAATAATAATGGTGGTGGTGGTGGTGGAAAGGACCTTGGAGGTCATCTAGTCCAACCCCCTGCTCAGGCAGGAAACCTATAGCATTTCAGACAAATATCTGTGGGGTCCTTGGTCCTCTCTGAGCTTAGTGGTTTTCCTGTAGACGTTTCATTACCATACTAGATAACATCCTCAGTGCTAGCAGGGTGTGGGATTTTCTCTCTCTCTCTGCCACTCTCTAACGGCACTGATGATGTTACTTAGTTTGATAATGAAACGTCTGCAAGTAAGCCACCAAGCTCAGAGGGCACCAAGGTTCTCCACGGTTCGACCTTGACCTATAAATATTTTCTTCTATTGGTACTCAAATATCTACACTTACACCACAATACTGTGATCCAACCCCAAACAATACTGAAAACCCCTGGTTCCCCTTCGTCTTCAGCCCTAGGGCTTCCTGACCAGCAGGCTTACGTTGCTCTGGACGCGGAAATCCGACAGGGAAGCCATGAGCTTGTCGAGCTCCAGAGTTGCTGAGGTGGCCGTTGGCTTGACAGATGGAGAGACTGTTGACCTGTGATAAGAACAGCCATTTTGAAAAGGTGTAAAGTAGATGGGGTTACATGCCTATATCCTCACTCTGGTAACTAACTGCAAATCCTGCTGTAAATGACCGAATCTTAAAAATCTCTCTAATGGAGAAGAATCTTTCCATCCTATTTCCTATGGTAGAAAAATCTTTTCCTTGAAAAATTATCCTTTTTATAATTTCAAAGGAGGAACACTTCTAATATGCTAGGTGTGGTGATGTATTCCACTTCAGCAGTGGATATTTTGATCTCTTGATTCTCTAAGTGAGGGTTTCTCAAGCTTGGCTATTAAGATGGGTGGACTCCAACTCCCAGAATTCCCCAGCCAGCATGGGGGATCTTAAAGTGGCCACATTCCCAGGTTATAAAATGGGAATACTAATTACCTATCATGACAAAGAACTTTAGTTAGTAGTTAGATTTGGTGCATCAAAAACGATGTTTTTCAGACCATTTTAGGAAGAGTGGCAAATTCTACCTCAGCTTCTCCCACGTATGTGCCACTTACCGGGATAGAGAAGTACCGTCTGTCGAATCGTCTAATCTCTCTTTGTCCTTGTCTGCAGCAGGACTTTTGCTGGATGGGAATTGGGACATTATTTCATCTGGGGAGAAGGGAAAGGAAAGGAAAGGAAAGGAAAGGAAAGGAAAGGAAAGGAAAGGAAAGGAAAGGAAAGGAGGGGAGGGGAGAGGAGGGGAGAAGGGAAAGGAGGGGAGAGGAGAGGAGAGGGGAGGAAAGGAAAGGAGAGAAGAGGAAAGGAGAGAGGAGAGGAGGGGAGAGGAGAGAGGAGAGAAGAAGAGGAGAGGAGAGAGGAGAGGAAAGGGGAGAGGAGAGAAGAAGAGGAGAGGAGAGAGGAGAGGAAAGGGGAGAGGAAGGAGAGGAAAGGAGAGAGGAGAGGAGAGGAAAGGAGAGGAGAAGAGAGAGGAGAGGAGAGGGGAGGGGAGGGGAGAGGAAAGGAGAGGAGAGGAGAGGGGAGAGAAGAGGGGATGGGAGGGGAGGGGAGAGGAGAGGGGAGAGGAGAGGGGAGGGGAGGGGAGAGGAGAAGGGAGGAGAGGAGAGGAAAGGAAAGGAAAGGAGAGAAGAGGAGAGGAGAGGAGAGAGGAAAGGAGAGGAGAGGAAAGGAAAGGAGAGGAAAGGAGAGAGGAGAGGAGAGAGGATAGGAAAGGAGAGAGGAGAGGAGAGGAAATGAAAGGAAAAAAGAGGAGAGGAGAGGAAAGGAAAGGAGAGGAAAGGAGAGAGGAGAGGAGAGGAAAGGAGAGGAGAAGAGAGGAGAGGAGAGGAGGAGAGGAAAGGAGAGAGGAGAGGGGAGGGGAGAGGAGTGGAGAGGAGAGAGGAGAGGAGAGAAGAGAGAAGAGAGGAGAGGAGAGGAAAGGAAAGGAGGAGAGGAGAGGAGAGGAGAGGAAAGGAGAGGAGAGGGGAGGAGAGGAAAGGAGAGGAGAGGAGAGGAGAGGGGAGGGGAGGGGAGGAGAGGAGAGGAGAGGAGAGGAAAGGAGAGAAGAGAGGAGAGGAAAGGAAAGGGGAAAGCTTTGAGTCATGTGCTGTTACACATCCCAGCCATCAGAGGACAGCACTGCCATACTTCTAGGCATGACAGAACATCTGGAGAACACACACACACATAGGAAGTACATGATTAAAAAAAAAAAACTTGGAAAATTTGGCAGAATGCATTCAAAGGAAGAAGCAACTTCCCCCTGCTGCGCTGATATCTGGCAACTTCACCCAGGGCAGAGAAGGAACTTCCATTCTTAATTCAAACCTACCTCATTTCGGAAACTACAAACCATAGGAAGCCATGGAGGAAGGAATAAAATGCTCCATTGCAAGGAAAGGTCAAGCTTCGGGGGGGGGGGGATATATCTGCAGCAGGTGGGGCAAATCTGCCGGCAAACGAGAAGTGCCCCTGGAGATGTAGCGTGGAGGGCAGCAGCCGGCTGAGAGAAGCAGCCTTAGGCCATTTTGGAAATTACAGACTTGGGCTGGGAAATGAAGCAGCCTTGGGAGCTTCTACTTTATGTCAGCCCAGAATGATTTACAGCAGTAAGTTTTCCAAACTTGGCAACTGTAAAACCTATGGACTTCAACTCCCAGAATTCCCCAGCCAGCATGAAATAAACACGACAGACATCACAGCAAAGAGCAAAGCCTGGAGCCAGTTTTGACAGCCATTTCACTCAAGCCAACCTTTGTATTTATGGGAGTTTGAGGACCACCCAGATTCATTTATCTGGTACTGGACGTTTGAGAACATCTAGAGACTGGAGGGGGTCAGAAAAGACCCCATTTCAGTTCTCATTTGACCACGGAGCTTATCGAATGTCTTTGGATCCGGTTCTCTCAGCCTGACCTAACCCACAGGATTGCTGTGCTAACAATAAAAGAAGGTGACATCATACTCCCACCAAGTTGATCATCAAAGAAAAGGCAGAGCATACATATAACGTGTAAATTAAGAACTCCAGGCAGTCCTCGACTTACAACAGTTCGTTTAGTTACGACGGTGCCAAAAAATGTAACTTACAACCAAATCAGAATTCAGATGCTTAGCAACTGATTCATGACCACTGCTGTGTCCTGGGGGTCATGTGATCCCCTTTTGCGACCTTCTGACAAGCAAAGTCAATGGGGAAGCCAGATTCACAACGTCCAGGTTACCAACTTACCAACTGCAGTGATTCACTTAACAGCTGTGGCAAGAAAAGTTGTAAAAATGGGGCAAAACTCACTTAAGAAATGTCTCACTTAACAGAAATTGTGGGCTCAATTATGTCGAGGACTACCTGTAATGGCTAAATTAAGAACTAATGGGGAGAGAAGGGGTGCCAAACCAGAAGATAACCTAAAGAACAAGGAGAGCACCTTATTTTGAATTCCTATTGGGTCACAGCTAGTCCAGCCTCAGTTTCAGGATCTGAAGCAGCTGTGGGAGAAAATGATGCTTATCCCCCCACTGTAAAGCAGATGTATTCCAGATGTACTGGAGTACGTCTCCTATAACTCATGGCCCATTTTGTTCCTAGGCTGGCTAAAAAGTATGAGGGTTGTAGCCCAGCACACCCAGAGGACACCAGTCTAGGCAAGAAAAGAGATGTAATGTATGATTTCATCCTTTTAGAATCATTTTTCTGGACAACAGCAAACATTGGCACTCAAAGTCATGATTAGTTTAGCGATGGTTTACTGAAAAAACCACCGCTGGGTTGGCTGGGTTCACACAATATGCCAAGCCATAAATCACGGTTAACAAATGATAATGGTTGGGTTCACACATCACCCCAAGCCAAAAACAATAAGCATTCTGGCTTGGTGTGATGCTGCAGAGTCCAGTTTGATACCCACTTCTGATTATGCAAAGGACAATAGAGAAAAGAGGCTTCTGAGGAGGTCGGCAGGAGATCGACCCAAAAGTGCCCCCTGACATTGGCTTGCGATATCTAATTCTCTGAGGTAAAATGCCTCCGTCCATGGAAGTTCTATTTCAAAGTTAGTGGCCCACAACTCCTCTATAACCAGAGCAATTTTTTTTTCGAAAGCCGTCTACGTTAGCGAATTCTAAGTGCCAGGAGAAATGTAGGTAGGTGTACATCACAAAATAACTACTCCAAGGCCCGGCATTTCTGCATGTGAAAAGCCATCCAAAGCACTACGCTCCCTCTACACACCCACACCCACCCACCCACCCACCCACCCACCCAGGTACGTACCAGTGATGTTGAACTGGGTTGCGTTGAGTTCTTGGAGAAGCCGGTCCAGTTCGCAAAGCCCAGCTCCGAGCACCCCGCTGGAGGAGGAAAAGGGTGGAGGGACGGCCTCCTTCGTCTTGGGCGAGAGAGGCTTGCAGACTGTACTGTGGTGGGAGGCAAAAGAGATGAGGATGAGTGGATGGAGAGGGTTTGGGGGCAGGAGGGAGGGGAGGCTGAATAGACACCACACCTTGAAGAGAGCGATGCAGTGCCTGCCTCTCCGGAGAAGATGGGAGAGGAAAGGGTGGCAGCTATTTATAGGATCCCTCCACTTAATGGAAGCTCTGGACTGAAGCCAGAGGATCTGGGCAAAGCTCCCAGGGAGGCCAAATGCCTCCAGACTCCTTTCTTTTCCTCCCCCATTCTTCTCCATCCCCTGGGCAATGTCCGCTACCCCCATATCCTGTTAGCTTAAAGGTCAGCCTGGGGGACTGCGTGCCCTCCTCCAGGATGTTGAATATGAGGCTTCTGCCTTGCCAAGAGGGCAGAGGGATGCTTCCGGCTCTGGTCGTGCCACCTAACAGTTGCCCAGCAAGCAGAAACTGCAGCTGCTTGCACTGTTTCCATCAGGGACAACACAAACTCTTAAAACAGGGTCTGCCTTTCTTTATGCAGGCACACCAGCCCTGCAGAGCAGTGGAGTGACTTCCAACTGCTAGCTTTTTCCCAAAGCACATTATCACCATCCTCATTTTTTTTCCTCCCCGTGGTTTCCTGTTCCACTCTATTCTTTCCACCCCCTAATCTCCATCAGATGCTTCTCCTCTATGTAGAAAATAAAGGATCTCATTTAACAAGCTTGAGCCTTGAGGACCTTAGGCTGATCTTGACAACAGCATGGAAATAGTGTGGTTTTTCTTTTTCAAAAAGGCTTTCCTACATCTACATCTAGCTTAGTGTTGGGATCTCATAGTGGTCTCCCATCCGGAGATTAACAAGTCTGCTTAAATTCCCAGGGATTAGTCAAGGTCTGTTTGATGCAGTTATTTCTGTCCTTTTATATTTCAGGATTTTTTCCCCCGCCGTAATGGTAAGCAAAATAAAATCAAAAGAATGCTGCCTGCATGCAGTAAAGAAACCCACCAGCGCACCTACATCTTCCTCCATGTGCAGAGTGCCCTACGGTTTACCTATAGAGATGCTCCTTGTCGCTCCCACCTTGCAGGGTTGATGTTGGAATTGGATCAGCCGGCATGGCTGCTTTTCCAGCCTGAAAGAAATGAGACGATGCAACTTATAAAGCAGAAGGAAGAGCTGGAATCGAACTAGACTCCAAAGGCAAATAAGAATTTCACCGTTGGTGTGCCTGAATAATGCAACTTCATAGCAAAGAACAGCAGAAGGCTTGGAAAATTGAAGTCTGTGCATTTTATAATTGCCCAGGTAATGATGATGATGATGATGATGATGATGATGATGATGATGATGATAATAATAATAATAATAGTAATAATAAAGTTGAAAGAGACCTTGGAGGTCATCAATCCAACCCCCTGCTCAGGCAGGAAACCCTATACCATTTCAGAGAAATGGCTGTCCAGTTTCTTAAAAACTTCCAGTGTTGGAGCATTCACCACTTCTGGAGGCAGGTTGTTACACTGGTTAATTGTTCTAACTATCAGGAAGTTTCTCCTTAGTTCTAGGTTGTTTCTCTCCTTGATTAGTTTCCATCCATTGCTTCTTGTCCTGTCTTAGGCGCTTTGGAGAATAGCTTGACTCCCTCTTCTTTGTGGCAGCCCCTGAGATATTGGAACACTATCATGTCCCCCCTCGTCCTTCTCTTCATTAAACTAGACATATCCAATTCCAGAAACCGTTCCTTGTATGTTTTAGCCTCCAGTCCCCTAATCATTTTTGTTGCTCTTCTCTGTACTCTTTCTAGAGTCTCAACATCTTTTTTACATCTTGGTGACCAAAACTGGATGCAGTATTCCAAGTGTGGCCTTACCAAGGCATTGTAAAGTGGTATTAAAACTTCACGTAATCTTGATTCTATCCCTCTGTTAATGCAGCCCAGCACTGTGTTGGCCTTTTTGGCAGTTGCAGCACATTGCTGACTCATATTTAAGTGATTGTCCACTAGGACTCCGAGATCCCTCTCATGGTTACTACTATTGAGCAAGGTACCCCCTATACTATACCTGTACATTTGGTTTTTCTTGCCTAAATGTAGAACCTTACTTTTTTCACCATTGAATTTCATTTTGTTAGATAGTGCCCAGTGTTCAAGTCTGTCCAGATCCTCCTGTATCCTAAGCCTGTCTTCTGGAGTGTTGGCTATTTCTGCCAGCTTGGTGTCGTCTGCAAATTTGATGAGTTCCCCATCAAATTGAAAAACTTTGTTCTAAAACAGACCTGGGCCACATCTGACTCTTTGGCTGTCCTTGTCCAGCCTGCACGGATTGCTTTTTACTTTGAAGGCTGCTGCTAATATTTTTTCAATTTAGGTATGTGCGTCCATCATGCCCAAGCACCTTTACATGGTCCTCCACAATAGTCCCCGTTTCTCATGCGGCTCCTTGAGTAAATTTATTGCCCACCACTGCTCTAAAGTCTCCAGCTGCTTTCTTCTCCTGAAATGAAAAGCTGAGAGCAACACGGTAGGCCCATGAACCTAAAGCAGGCTGTTCCCTTAATTGCAGCCGCACTCTATTCCGTTAGCAGAATTGCCATAAGTGCTGAGGGTATGAGTGATGTCATCTGTATCATGACGTCACTTGTGCGATGACCTCATGATGTCACTGGAGCTTCTACCAGGCAGCCATGAGGCTTGCGGTAAAATTCCAACCAACACTTGGAAATTGTTTTCCAAGTGTTCCGAGGGCAGAACATTATGTTCTTTGCCCCTGGAGGCTGGAAACATCTTCAAGTTTCTGTAGGTTTCTGTAAAATGTAAAGGTTTTATAGGTTGATGGAAAAATTTGCTCATAAATGGGCAGCTGGACCAAAATGGATACACACACACACACACACACACACACATTATAGAAACGAAAATTGGGCTCAAATCCCATTTGGATTTGTGGAAGTGCAGACACCACAAATGGGGTTGTATTCTCTGCATTTTGTTAAGAGAAATGACTTTCTTTCCTACGGAGAGAAAACAAATCTGCTGAGTTAATACAGAAACTGATTTTAGTATAACTGACGAATAGAAGTAGTCCTCGGCTTACGACCACAACCCAAATTTCTGTTGCTAAGCAAGAGCTAAGTGTGGTTTGTCCCGTTTTACAACATTTCTTGCCATTGTTTTAACTGAATCACCTCAGTTGTTTAAGCTGGTGCCAAGTGAGTTTTGTCAGGAGGTTTCAAAAGGTGATCACATGACCCCAGGACACTAACCGGCATATTGGAATTGGGTATGTCTAGTTTAACGAAGAGAAGGACGAGGGGGGACATGATAGCAGTGTTCCAATATCTCAGGGGCTGCCACAAAGGAGAGTCAAGCTATTCTCCAAAGCGCCTGAAGGCAGGACAAGAAGCAACGGATGGAAACTAGTCAAGGAAAGAAGCAACCTAGAACTAAGGAGAAACTTCCTGACAGTTAGAACAATTAACCAGTGGAACAACCTGCCCCCAGAAGATGCTCCAACACTGGAAGTTTTTAAGAAGAGACTGGACAGCCATTTGTCTGAAATGGTATAGGGTTTCCTGCCTGAGCAGGGGGTTGGACTAGATGACCTCCAAGGTTCCTTCCAACTTTATTATTATCATTATCATTATTATTATGTACAGGCCAGTTGCCAAGCATCTGAACTTTGATCACATGAGGCTGCAACACTCATAAGTGTGAACAACTGTCATCAATCACTTTTTTCAGTGCCACTGTAATTTCAAATGGTCACTAAACAAATGGTTAGAAGTCGAGACCTATCTGTACAATTAATCTATCTTCTTCCAAATGAAGTTTTACATATTTTGGGGAAACTACGTGTGCTGCTGTCCTTTAGAAAAAGAAAAAAAAAATCCCAGGCCCAGAATAAACAGATTTTTTTTAAAAAAAGTTACTTGAGAGAAACGAGAAGGAATGAGATCAAAGATTACTGGAATAGCATTGAAATCACTAACCACAATGCCTATCAATTGCAAAGAGCCAAGCCAGCCCATCTGAATTGAGGGAATTTTTTTTAAAAAAAAAACTCAAGGTTCTTATTTCACACATTTAACCACAAATCTATTGTCTCTCTGCAACCTCCCAGAATGATTTTACACCCAGAATAATCCTGAAGTAGGCAGCGGGAGCTATTTATTTCTCCAGATATTGTGATATCAGTGCTGAGGGAGCGTTTAGTTAGAAAAGGATTGGTGACCGCAGTGAAATCATAGTGACCGTCTTTTCTTTTAATAGAACAAAGCCTGATGCCATGAAAAGATGCCGGCAGTTGGAAAAGAAAAAGGGAAAACATTTTGCAACTTCACGTTCAGGTCTCAGAAAGCTTCACCGGTGGATTTCTGCCTTTTACAAAGTCACTTTAGGAGGTAAAACCTTTCTGTTTAGGAAGACAGGACAACCCACTGCATTGCCAAACTAGGAACAAATGAGATAGGTGGAGAAAGAAAGAAGGTGGAAAGATGGAAGGAAGGAAGAATGAAAAAAAGAAAGAAAGAAAGAAAGAAAGAAAGAAAGAAAGAAAGAAAGAAGCCAGCATGCTTTTAATTGCTGAAAGAAAGGAAGGAAGGAAGGAAGGAAGGAAGGAAGGAAGGAAGGAAGGAAGAAAAAAGAAAGAAAGAAAGAAAGAAAGAAAGAAAGAAAGAAAGAAAGAAAGAAAGAAAGAAAGAAAGAAGCCAGCATGATGCTTTTAATTGCTGGAAGGAAGGAAGGAAGGAAGGAAGGAAGGAAGGAAGGAAGGAAGGGAAAGGAAAGGAAAGAAAGAAAGAAAGAAAGAAGGAAAGAAAGAAGCCAGCATGATGCTTTTAATTGCTGAAAGGTAGGAAGGAAGGAAGGAAGGAAGGAAGGAAGGAAGGAAGGAAGGAAGGAAGGAAGGAAAAGAAAGAAAGAAAGAAAGAAAGAAAGAAAGAAAGAAAGAAAGAAAGAAGCCAGCATGATGCTTTTAATCGCTGGAAGGAAGGAAGGAAGGAAGGAAGGAAGGAAGGAAGGAAGGAAGGAAGGAAGAAAGAAAGAAAGAAAGAAAGAAAGAAAGAAAGAAAGAAAGAAAGAAAGAAAGAAAGAAAGAAGCCAGCATGATGCTTTTAATCACTTCCAGAATTTGTTTCACCTCTATTCCAGCACTTTAAGGGGATAGCTGAGTGTTTTTCAAATTCAGCAACTTTAAGATGTGTGGCCTTCCCCAGACAGAAATGCTGATTGGGGAATTGAAGTCCACACATCTTAAAGTTGCAGAGTTTGAAAAATTACTGGGCTAGGCTGAACAAAGGAGCTTATGCAGTTGTTTTCCATTACGTCCAAACCACCTGAGAGTTGTAAGATGAAGTTGTCGGCTTGGAAACTGGAGTCCTGTCTTGACTGTGGGATCCCCCGGAATCGGTGAGTAGAACTGGACGTTTGGAGATATGAGATGTGGTGGTCTCCAGATCAGCCAGGAGAGCATCTGTTGGGGAAAAGACCGTAGAGCTGAGAATGAGACACAGGAAGACACAGAAGCAGCAGGAGCCAAATACTGAGGGGAGAGAACAGAGGCAAAGTCTTGCGAACAGCAGAGGAAGTGTCGCAGAGAGATATAGGTAGTCCTCAACTTACAACAGTTCATGTAGTGACCGTTCGAAGCTACAACAGCATTGAAAAAGTGACTTGTGACCATTTTTCACTTATGAGCATTGCAACATCCCCATGGTCACGTGATCAAAATTCAGATGCTTGGCAACTGGTTCATATTTATGACGGTTGCTGTGTCCTGGGGCTCATGCGATCACCTTTTGCGACCTTCTGACAAGCAAAGTCAATGGGGAAGCCAGCTTCACTTAACAACCGCGTGACTAACTTAACAGCTTCACTGATTCACTTAACAACTGTGGCAAGAAAAGTCGTAAGAGTCATTTAACAAACGTCTCACTTAGCAACAGACATTTTGAGTTCCATTGTGGTCATAATTCGAGGACTACCTTGTATGGTTTGTTGTTCCCATCCTAAAGCGGAAATTCAGTTTTGTCATCCAGGTGACGCCAAAAGTCCCTCCACTGGAAAATCTGTGCTTTTTATTTTTTTAAATAATTCTGCCTCTCCAGAAACATCCAAATTCCAGGACTACCACCATGATTGCAATTATATTTAATACAGGGTAACTATCCCCTTTTTTTTCTTTGTTTGTTTCTATTGTTTCATGAAGTATCTTAACTGTCTTTGTTGAACAGAAAGCCAAAAAAATGTATCCAGTAAAAAAATAAAATAAAATAATAAATTAAATTAAATTAAATTAAATTAAAATAAAATAAAAAGGCATACACCCTGTACAACAATCTCAAAATGTTCCCGGCACTGTAATGGCAAGATAAAGAGGGTGACAAAGCTAAAACAAACACACGTTCGTGAAACTGTTCTTTCTTCCTTCTAATCTCTCGAGGATTTAGAATGATTTTTAAATGGGACTTCCAACAAAAGAGAGAAATGCTTGATCTGTAGGTAGTCCTTGACTTACGACCACAAATTGAGCCCCAAATTTGTGTCACTAAGTGAGACAGTTAGGTGAATTTCACCTCATTTTATGACCTTTCTTGCCACAGTTGTTAAATGAGTCAGTGCAGTTGATAAGTCAGTAACGCGGCTCCCCCATTGACTTTGCTAGTCAGAAGGTCATAAAAGAGGATCGCATGAACCCGGGACATGGCGAGTGTCAGAAATATGAGCCAGTAACCAAGAATCCGAATTTTGATCACATGACCGTGGGTCCTAAGGGTGAGAAACGGTCATGAGTCACTTTTTGAGTGACATTGTAACTTCAAATGGTCACGAAGCAAACCGTTGTAACTCAAGAACTATTTCTCTTTGGCCCCAACATTGTATTTCAGATCTTGGTGGAATTTTGAAATATTACATACTTCAGTCCCAGGGCTAGGCAACCTTGGCTCTTTTATGACTCGTGGACTTCAACTCCCAGAATTCCTGAGCCAGCCATGCTGAGGGGAAAGGGAGAGGTTTCCAAGCTGAGCCATGCTGGCTCAGGAATTCTGGGAGTTGAAGTCCACGAGTCATAAAAGAGCCAAGCTTGCCTACCTCTGGGCTAACTGAAGCATAAAACTCATTTCTTCTGCATCGAAAGCTATGTTTGGATGCAAGGAAGTGTGTGGAAACTTGCAAAGTTTGGGCCTCACCAAATCCCTGGCCCCCAAGTGTCTTAACTTGAAGCAGTTAACCAAAGCGGAGGCTTGTGCAAGTCACTAGTCCTCACTAGTCACACAATAGGAAATTCCACTCTTGTGATTCCAAGCCATTTCCAATAAGTCCTTGCTCAAAAATCACTTTGCCCTTAATTTATTTTTGTCATAAAATCCTCTAATATCAACTTTAGTCAGTTATATTTTTTATCATATTGATCCAGATGAGGACCAAATAAGAAAAACAGAGAGGGACTGGGCTAAAAAAAGAGAATCAGTGTGGTTTAGTGGTTAACGCACTGGGAGACTGAATTCTAGCCCCACTTTAGGCACAAAGCCAGTTTGACAACCCTGGGCCAGCCACTTTCTCTCAGCCCTAGGAAGTAGGCAATGGCAAACCATTTCTGCAATCTTGCCAAAAAAAAAAAAAAATGACAGGGAGTAGTCCAGGCAGTTGCCAGGAGTCAATACTGACTTGAAAGCCATTAAAAAAAAAAAGGCTAAAAATAAAAGGACAAGACAGGATACCATAGGCTAGGAGGAAGAGAACAGATCTAGGTAAGAAGAGCTTCATAATTCTATTTCTGCTCCTGTCTTATCAGCACTGCTTCTGAACTCCTGGCTCCCTTGGGATGGGTCCTCTGCCCATGCTCAGAAACTTTCTCACTGCTTCGTATTCAAAGCATGCTCTTGGACTAAAAAGTCCAGGATTTGTGACGCTGACATAATTTCCCTGTACAGATTTGCTATTCCATTTTGTTCTGTCTTTTTCTGACTCTTCTTCAATCCTCCGAAACACTCACGGCTTTCCACACAATTAACCTTTTGTGCAATAAGCTTCTTCCACCGTGAGCTAATTTTACAGAGGTCCTTTTGACACACACACACACACACACACACACACACACACACATTCACACCCCAAATTCAATGTCCTGCAAGTTGGTCAGATCCTAAGTGTTATTTGGGAGAACAGCAGCTGATTTAAACAATGGCCCACCGGGAGTAGTTTGGGATAAACGTGTCAGACCAGGAGTGGGGAGACCCAGATTTGACTCCATCCTTAACTACGGAAACTCACTCCATCTTGTTTGTCTGTCACGGGGATAAAATACCACAAAATCTCCTTTGAGGCACATGGAACTCTTGAAGTGTCCACGTGGGATACAAGTAGTCCTTGACTTACAACCACAATTGAGCCCAAAATTTCTGTTGCTAAGCAAGACAGTTTTTAAGTGACTTTTGCCTCACTTTATGTTCTATTTTATCACAGATGTTTAATGAATCACTGCAGTTGTTAAGGCAGTAATATGGCTGTTAAGTGGATCTGGTTCCCCCATTGATTTTGATTGTCAGAAGGTAGCAAAAGGGGATCACATGACCCTGGGACACTGCAACCGTCATAAATACATTCCAGTTGCCGAGGGCCCAAATTTTGATCACGTGACCATGGGGACGCTGCAGTGGTTGTAAGGTGAAAAAATGGTTAAAAGTCACTTTTTTTCGGTGCCATTATAACTCCAAACGGTCACTAAACAAACGGTTGTAAGTCAAGGACTACCTGTATGTGAGTGAGAAAAAATAGAAATTGTGGGTACAACGGTGGGAACAAGCTCTGATCCTTTTCTAAAATGTGCCACACAGGTATTAAAAAAAAGGGGGGCAGAGGTTTAATTGTACATCTCTGCCAGCCACGCTGACATTTTTGGCTCCCAAAACCAGAAGCAGCTGTCTTAAAAAAAAAGACAGGCTATAAATCTAACAAATATTTGTTTTATTTACTTGCAGGGCTGATATGCCATCCAACTGAAGCTACTTTGGGATAGCTTCTATGCTCTACTTACATCAATTAGATTACAAACTACACAGCCCAAAATGTGAAGGGCCACCTAATGCAAAACACACAGATAAAGATGATTCTGTTTTCACTGATCTTCAAATTATAGGAAGAAGCAGCTCACATATCCTTCTCTTATTGTATTTCTTCCTGACTTCATACAATTCTCTATTTCAGTGTTTCTCAATTCTGGCACCTTTTAAGATGTGGGGATTTCAACTCCCAGAATTCTCCAAACAACGTTGCTTGGAGTCCATACATTATAAAGGTTGGAGAAACACTGCCCTAGTAATTTAAATAAGATTTCTGTTCTGCCTGACAGTGCTAGGGGTCTTCCGAGGTCTCTCCTGACTTAAGCAGTCCATCTTTGAAATAAGGGCAGCATTTCTTTCATTGTCCTTAGCTTAGCCATTCATTTTGAATGCACAAATATGCTAGCTAAGGAATTCTGGGAGTTGAAGTCCACATATCTTAGTTGCTAAGGTTAAAAAACACTGCTCGAGTTTTGGAAAGCTGGTAGCCCTATGGCTGAAAGTATAGGACAGTGGTTCTCAACCTGTGGGTCGGGACCCCATTTGGGGTCGAACGACCATTTCACAGGGGTCGCCAAACAACGCAGTCCGCCATTTTTTCCCCCCTTTTTTGCCTTAGCTGTGCTACTCCCTTTTATTCTATTGGCTTTTGAAAGCCAATAGAATAGACTCTCTTGAATAGAGTCTAATTCTATTGGCTTTCAAAAGCCAATAGGAATTGTCCAGGCTGTCTCTGCCCTGCTGAGCCCGCCAAAAGTCCCATTCTGCAAACGGCGCTGCACCAGTTGAGTAGTCCTCAACTTACGACCAGTTGAGTAGTCCTCAACTTACAACCGGTTGGGGGTCGCGGCATTAAAAAGGTTGAGAACCACTGGTATAGGAGAAGACTTGTGGACTTCAACTCTCCAAATCTTTCTGGCTGAAGAATTCTGGGAGTTGAAGTCCACAGGTCTTAAAGTTGCCAAGGTTAGACACCCCTGGACCAGAGTTTTCAAAATTCCAGTCAGCAATTTTGGGAATTCTGGAGGGGCCCAGACTAGGCAACTACTCTACAACTATTAAATGCTGCCATTATTACCTCCCCCAAATCTACGGCAGTTTGGTATTTCCTCCATGATAATTTTAAGTGCTTATACCACAGGTCGGCAACCTGCGGCTCCGGAGCCGCATGCGGCTCTTTGAGCCTTCCCCTGTGGCTCCCAGCCTCCTCTGCCTTTGCAGAGAGAGACAGAGACAGAGAGAGGCAATTGCGCTTCCCTGCTTCTCTCTCTCTCTCTCTCTCTCTCTCTCTCTGTGTGTGTGTGTGTGTGTGTTTTGTGTGTGTGTGTGTGTATATGTGTAAAAGAGAGTGCACTCACATTGTTCTCCGAGGAGCTGAAAAGCTTTCTGGGCCGAGCTCCTCCCTTTGCTG